TCAGCTGTGGAAATCGTTTACATCGCTGCTGCAGAAGCACTCCATTGCTCTTCGAGGCCTATTCAACGTGTCCCAAGCAATCAGCTATTTTTGCGTGGAAATTGAACAGAAAATCGACTCAGTCTACAAAATACCTGCCAAGAATCGCTCCGTTACCTTGAAAGTTCTGAATTTCTTACTGAAAGTTGTCCTGAAATTATGTGAGTATTTCAGCGGCCGCCTGCACAAATGCCTGCCTAGTTTATGTCAGCTGATATCATTACTGTACCAGAATTCGGGCATGTGCGCTAAATACGAAGGCCGAAACTCGAATATTGCTGCTGAAATTGAGACTAACTTACTGCCCGCCGTAGATCCGCTTATCGTGTCCTTAATGAAGGAAGACAGCTTCGTGAAGCACTTTTCTGAACTGAAGAAAACAAACGTAGCTGCGCTTATGCTTTTATCTGTAATATTGCAGAAATTGGTGTTGTCTCCGCCAGAATTCCTCGAGTGCGAACTTTTCGAAGCTGTGTTCCAGAATATCAGCTCGTGCTCAACTGAATTACATTTTGATGTCCGAATTGCAATTGTACCGTCGACAAGCCTGCAACTGCCTCAGGAAGTATATCTGTACGACGCTCTTGTCGTGCACACAGCTAGTCTCATTATCAGCGTAGTATCCGAGCAGGATTTCCATCGTATCGAACAGCTCCTGATCACTCATTTACTACAGTCTTCTGTTGGGATGAAATTATTCATCTGCGACTTATGGTGTGTGCTCGTCCGCTACGGAAGCTCAGAATTGTGCTTCGAACATGCCAAATTGTTAATGAGAGTGTTGCAACAAATTCACCACCAGAAATTGGAGACCGTTATTATTAAATCATTGCTCAAGAGGTTTTTCAAATTCTTATCCCGTGCTCAGCAGCAGAAGTTCATCAACTTTGTCAGTAATGATTTGAGCTTGTTGGTTGAAGTCGTTCATCCTCAACTGAACTGTACGTTGTCTATCCTGGATGAGTCATTCGTTACAAACGTTTCAAAGCGCGTACAAGAATTAAGTGAGTCTTCTGGCATCAGTAGTTGGGACATTGATTTGCTACTTATTGTTCGAGTTGCATGCAACATAGTTGAATTCGAGCAGCCAATCAAAGAATACATCCTC